AGAAAGTTCAAAAGAACAGCATTTATTTGAAATACAAATCTTTTGCAACATTATAAATGTCTATTCTCTCACTTTTCGTCAATTTAATGCATCACTGCTGATTTCTGTTCAAAAATTCCTTTGAATGGTAATGTATATTGCTGGTCAAGTTCTTCAAAACACTGGCAGGTGTGAAAAAAGTGGAACCTAAATGTCAGCACAGGAATTTATGGTTTGACTCAAAGACTCTCTCTCTTTATGTTTGTGGTACATTAGTGTTGGTCCTCTCTCAGAATGGTCCTGTGTGCTTTTACCTTGGGTCTGAAGCTGTGTGTGGGCAGGATGTGTTCGTGTTGGGCTCGCGGTGTGCCCCAGGGGTGGTACAGCTTGAAGCACTCGTTACAGAAGTTGGACCTGCAGTCAGCGCAGCCTTTGGTGGCCTCCAGAGCCTGAGGAGGTTTGCAGAACTGACACATGACTGCCATGCTGCCGAGACTCACTGTGTGTCTGTACCTGCACACGTGAACAAAGAAAGACATCAGTCATCTACTGTGCATTCGAAATGAACAACATCAGGCTCATCTGAAAAGTAAACACGCATGGCTTGGGTTACATGTATGCATGCTTGTTTAATTGTATTATATATTTGTATGTGCACATACATTCTAGCATGTGTGTGTGGGTGGTGTATTGTATATATAGATGCATCTCAGCTCTCCAAAGCATTCAGATCCCCAGTTTTCTCACAAATGTTCAACCCTCAAGTGTTCACCCTTGATGTGAGAGGAGAGACTGATATATTACCTATCTTTAGATTTGATTTACTTTATTTATTATAGATGTTAAAATGAACATCATGTCCTTATTTAAATAGTTTAACAATCTAACATACATATTTTAAATGTCTTTTTAATGTTTTGTTTTTACATTCCATAACACATCTTGTGCGATCAGACACGATCAGTCATGTACGAAGCTCCACACATGACAAAATAGATCTTGTTTCTATGATTTAAGAATAAGTTCACAGGACTGTGTCCATGTTGAACTCATTTGTTTCCTCGTTTTAATGAAATCATGGCCACGCTATACTAATTAATTATTTTAATGTATTTTACTTTTAATGTAGCTCAATAGTGGCCACGATTTAACAACAACAACAATAATAATAATAATAATAATAATAATTGGTCACATCACATTGACATCACAACATTAAAATGACAAACCTGATGTGTTGCAACTAAATGCATCATATTTTAAAAGATGCTGATGCAATTTACATAGAATAATATCAAAATGTCAGTCTGTTTTTCACATAAAACTAAATACTTGGAATAAATTGCATAACTGGTTTTATGTTACTTTTATGGAGGTTTTTTTAATTATTATTTAGGAACTCAGTTCACTCTGGTTAATATATTCTTCAAACATTTCTCTTTTTGTGTTCCATGGAGGAAGGAAAGTTCTGCAGGTTTTGAATCACATTTTCATTATTGAGTTAAATATTTTTACTCTTGCTTTTGAAAGCTATAACTGAAAGTACACAGCGTTACTGTGGTTTTAAAAGCTTAAGGCTAATTGCTTGAGAAAATTTTTACTCAAGTACAGAATGGGAGTCATGCGTGCTCTTTACTGGAAGGAAGAAACTAAATATGTTTCTGTCTCCTCCATTTCTCCACTTCATTTTGCTCTGCCAGTAGTGATTTCATTGGTCCACGTACTCTGTGAGCTATCAATCTCTTTGGTGATGTGCCTATGAATAGATGCAAGTTCAGAACATCTCAAGTGTTCAAAACCAGTAGAACAACATTTCTGCATTGTACAGCACAGATACTGAAATTAATTTTTAATTTAGCAGGAATTCTGAGGAAGTGTGTTTGCGTGTGAGAGACCTCTCCACTATGCGCTCTAGCGTGAGATTTCTCAGACAGTCTGCAAGCCCTCTCTCTCCCAGCTCCACATCTTTTCCGCAGGTGGGACAGGGGAACAGCATGATCACAGGTGGGGTGTCTTTACGCCTGCGTCCTGGATGTGTCCCACACACTGCACAAAAGGGAGAGAGAGATACAGTTCGAAAAAGCTGTTTCCAACATTAAAGCTTCTTTAAGCCCCAATAAATCTAAGCCAGGAAGAAGAAAGGAAAAGCTAATCAATGACGAAAGAGAACAGAATCCAGAGGCCCGCTGTGTGCTGACGCATTCAGAATCAGCCCATAACGACGGCTGCTATATTTAAACACACACGCACCTGCAAAGTGTTGCACAGATGCAATACATCTGAATGATGCAGTATCATTATAAACATTTGCACAGAGCTAAAACTATGCTGTTATGCCAACATTTTAAATGCTATTTAAATGTTTAAAAAATACATTGTTTAATTAAATTTTTATATACATATTATAATTATAACAAATAAATTATTAAATTGACATGCTATCATGTTTTATTATTTTATTAGTTAAAATTATTTTAGTAAATAAAAAGCAATATAATTACTCAAACTGTTTTAGAAATCATATGTAATCCAAACTATGCAGTTGTCAACATTTAAATGTTTTTAAAATATGTAAAGTTTAATTAAATAACAAAATAATTTTAGAAAAATATTGTATTTATACATTTTAAAATATATTAAAATAGAATATATATTCACAATATTACAATGTTTACTGTATTTTGGATCAAATAAATGCACACTTGGTGAGCAAAACATTAACAAATCTTACCGACCCAAACATTTTAATGGCATAGTGCACAGTTTAGTGTTCACTATAAAAATACTTAAGTTACCAATTGATTGACAAATCAAAATCAAGCGTCCCAAAATGCCATTTAATAAAATGTCAGCACACTTGATCTCGGTGTCTGTTAATGAACACACAAACCTGTTCTGATCACCCGGTCTAGACGGTCTGTTTTGGGTGGAGGCCGGCGTGTCTGTCGGGGAGAGCGTGTGATGGGGCTTGAGGTGGGAGTGTTGGGCTCTGGGGGGAGTTCGGGTGGAGGGTATCCTCTCTGAACCAAGACTTCTGCTGCACACAGCACACACACGCTGTGCATACAAGGCAACACTATCGGCTGCTTCACCATCTCCTCACACACTGGACAGTGCAGCTCTCGCTCTATGCTCTTCATATTGGACTAGACAGAGAAAGAGACAGAGATAAACAAACAATTAGCAGAAGAAAACATGCAGTCAAACATTATGTTGATATTTATAGACATAGATCAAAGCCACATATCCTGACAAAAAATAGTTAACTCTTGATGTTATATGTGTAATGTCATGGTTTTATTTGTTTTTGAAGCACTGTAGATTTTAAAGATGTTATATTTGGAGTTTAATTCTTTATTCCATTTTAATGACTGAAATTGATTATGGATTGTGCTATGGA